GTAGGTCAACGGTAAAAAGACAGAAGAAAACGGACGACAGATGAAGAAGTTATGAAATTTTAACGGATTTTTCCTGTCTCGGCCCGTTAAAATAATATAATATTAAAAATAAAGTCCAAATTAGTCGACAGAGTCTAAACGAAAGTTGTAGAGCATAATTTCACCTACGCGTGGATATAAAGAACGTCAAAAACGGAGCTCGTATGCGAAACATATGGATTTTTGAAGTTCGGAACACAAAGTTCGAGACCTGACTGCATTCACGACGTGAATTATAGAAATTCACAACGTGAACTACTTGCAACGACACCTTTCGAGCCTAGAAGACACACGACAGGCCTAGGGGATGATCGGGATCAAACTCACGACGTGAACAAGCATGATTCACGTCGTGAACCTCGAAATTCAGCCTATAAATAGAAAGCGAAGCCCTCCGGAAATGGTTGATACTTTTCATTCCTCTCTCACTATATACTCCCTTTTAGCCTACTTTTAACCCCCCGAAGTCCCAGTATCATCCCCAACACCCGAAGCAAGTCCCGACGCTCCGAACTTCCCGAGAAAATCATATTTTCAAGTTGAAACTCCGCCCGAGTAAAGCCCGATTTTCAACTAAAATCCTCGGTTTCGTCACAGAAAGTCATATTTAGAGCCGAAGTGCTGCCCAAATTATAATTTATTCCTTCGGTTATTTCACGGCGAGTTCAATATATAGGAACAATTTTATGTTATGTGTTATATGTGCTATGTGATTTTTCGTGTTATCATCTCGTGTTATTATTTCCGCTATTATGGTAGCAAAGTTGTACCTTTGACCATGTGATCAGTGAAAGGACTTAGATTCACGGTGGTACTGGTATGTAGCCTCTGGTCATGTAGAGCATGTCTCGTAAGAGAATGACTTCTATTCTATGGCATTGGCAGAAGGTTAGATAGGGCTAAAAGCCTGAAATCTACCAAAATGTTTAATCACAAATCGTATGTCTTCTGTGCCATTTGTGCCAAAGTGTTATTGATGTATATCAAGTATTGAAATTGTTATGTCTCATTGATTGTATATCATTGAATCAAATCATCGATTGATATGGAAAGCTTGTCGCATTTCACATATGCCTTTGTTGTTCCTTGTACCCCTTTGCTTCTACCATATTAAAGTATATATATGGCATAACGTTATATTGTATTTATTATTGAATTCACTAAGCGTCACTGCTTACCCCTCTCAGTGTTTAACAATTGCAGGTGATAAGCATCCATTATAGTCATATACTGTTAGAATATTTTGAATAGTTAAAAGCTATTACTTTTGTATTTAGTACTCATGTATGTATAAAACTTTAATACACTGGGTAGTTATGTAATATACTAAAACTTAGTCGGTTTGTATCCAATCTTTGTAATCAAATTATCATTGTAAAATATTATTTATGAATATGCATGTAACATGTTTTGGAGTGATAATAATGTCTTGAGTATGAAAGTTTAGGGTCTTTCAGTTGCTGCAGCTACTTCTCACGATGATCTAAATGTTCAAATGCCATCCATCAACAATGATTTGTCCAACATGTTCAAAGGGTTTTCTCACGAACAATGCCAACAATCATGTCAGCTCTCTCCAATCATATGATAGCTGTTAATCCAAATGAGGAAACAACTATTGGTAAATGTTATTCCATTTCTATTAATTCAGGGCAAAAATCACAGAAATGGATAATTGATTAAGGTGCAACTCAACATGTTTGTCATGAATTCTCTATGTTTTCCAGCAAAAGAAGAGTTTCTCATTACACTGTTACTTTGCCTAACAAGATTACTCTTCTTGTTAATCTCATTGGTGACATAATACTTGATCATCTTCTTGTTTTAAAAGATGTTCTATATGTTCCATCTTTTGACCAGAATTTGATTTCTATGAGTTCTCTTACTAAGAATCAAATATTGATGATACGGTTTACTTGTCATCATGCTTTGATCCAGGATATGAAGGAAATGAAGATGATTGGCAAAGCTGATTTGTGTCAAGAGCTTTATGTGTTGGATGAGAAAAGCCACAAGATAGATATCAAAATTTGTTCTATTTCGTTAGATGTTTGGCACACCAGATTAGGGCATCCATCTAATAAGTGTATATCATCAATAAAAGAGTTGTTATCTATAAAAGTTGCTACTGCAGATCTCTCTCATTGTTCCATTTTCCCTTTAGCCAAACAAAAACAATTTCCCTTTGTTTCTGTAAACAATATGGAAAATGATTGTTTTGCCCTTGTGCATTGTGATATTTGGGGTCCATTTTCTACTTCATCTATTCAATGATTAAGATATTTTGCTACAGTTGTTGATGATCATAGCATATATACTTGGATTTATATGTTGAAAAACAAGTCATATGTTATTACCATTATTCCAGCTTTCTATAAAATGGTTCTTACTCAATTTGATAAGAAAATTAAAGTCTTTAGGTCTAACGATGCTAAAGAATTGGATTTTATAGATTTTTTGTCATTAAAAAAGGATTATTCATCAAAGTTCATGTGTTGCTAAACCTCAACAAAATTATGTGGTGGAAAGAAAACATCAACATTTGCTCAATGTAGCTAGAGCATTATGTTTTCATTCAAATTTACCTTTGAATCTATGGAGTGAATGTATTTTAACTGCTGCTTATCTCATTAATCGTCTGCCTTCTCAAGTTTTGAACAACAATACTCCTTATTAGAGATTACTTGGTAAACATTTTTCTTATTCTCAGTTAAGAAATTTTGGATGTTTGGCTTATGTTTCTACTTAGGCTGCACACAGATCAAAATTCTGTCCCAGGGCAAAATCTTGTGTTTTTGTTGGTTATCCTCCCAACATGAAGGCTTACAAACTCTATGATCTTTCCAAAAATGAGTTTATCATTTCTAGAGATGTTGTATTTCATGAATCAATATTCCCTTTTACAAATACTCAAGTTCAGACATCTTCTTTTTTTGATCAATTTGTGCTTCCTATTTCCACAAATGAAGATGTTCCATTTCCAGTTGAGCACAATGATCATTCTCATTCTGATCATTCACACGATTCCAATTCTTCTTCTGATTCTCGAAATTCTTCTCATAATCCTAGCATTGCCACTAGTAAGCCTACTAGAAACAGACATCCACCATCATACTTAATAGATTTTCATTGTAATTCTCTAACACATGAAAAGTTATCCTCTACTACACTCTATCCTTTGGAAGATGTTCTTAGTTATGACAAGATTTCTCCAAATCACAAAGCCTTAGTCATGAATATTTCAGCAATTTTTGATCCTCAAAGTTTTATTCAACCTACCAAATGTCATCAATGGTGTAAAGCAATGGATGAAGAACTAGTTGTAATGGAAGCATACAACACTTGGACCATTATGCCCTTGCCTTCTGATAAACATACAGTTGGATGCAGATGGGTTTATAAATTGAAATATGGAAGTAATGGTCAAGTTGAAAGACATAAGCTCGATTGGTTGCCAAAGGCTTTAGCCAACAAGAAGGAGTGGATTTTTTTGACACATATACCCCTGTTGCCAAGTTAGTAACTGTCAAGATGCTCCTTGCTATTGTTGTTGCCAAGTCATGGAATTTAGTCCAATTAGATGTCAATAATGCTTTCCTCAATGGAGATAAAAAAGAAGAAGTTTTCATGGAAATACCACCTGGTTTCAAAATTCAGAAGGATAAATATCCTAGAAATGTTTCTTTGGCATGTAAACTCAATAAATTCATATATGGTCTTAGACAAGCTTCAAGACAATGGTTTGAGAAATTTTCTTCATTCATGTTATTTATGGGCTTACTCAATCAAAGTCAGATTATTGTTTGTTTTTCAAAGGATCAGGATCCACTTATGTTGCTCTTTTAGTATATGTAGATGATATCTTGATTACTGGATCATCTAATACATAAATAAATTTTCTTAAGCAGAAACTAAGTGAAAAACTCAAGCTCAAAGATTTGGGTTCTCTGGGATATTTCTTAGGATTAGACGTGGCTAAATCCAAAAAAGGAATCTTTTTTTCACAAAGAAATTATACACTCCAATTGATTGAGAATTTGGGTTTCTTAGCAGCTAAACTTGTTTCTACTCATATGGATCCTAGAAATAATCTGCAAAGTGATAAAGGTGATATTTTTGATGATCCTGCACGATATAGAAGATTAGTGGGTCGATTATTATACTTAAACATAACAAGACCAGACATTTCTTTTTTAGTTTAGAAATTGTCCCAGTTTATGTCTTCTCCAAGAGTTCCTCATTATCAAGCTGCATGTTATCTGGTGAAGTATTTGAAACAAAATCTTGGTCAAGGAATTTTCTTATCTGCTAAATCCAACTTGAAATTAAGGGCTTTTTGTGATGCAGATTGGGGTAAATGTTTAGATTCAAGAAGATCTATTACTGGATTTCGCATATTTCTTGGTGATTCTTTAGTCTCGTGGAAATCTAATAAACAAGCTACTATATCTCGTTCTTCAGCTGAAGCAGAGTATAGAGCTATTGCTTCTACTGCTTGTGAGATAATATGGTTGAGATAGTTGTTACAAGATTTTGATATTAATAATAAAGAAGCAACATTATTATTCTGTGATAACATCTGAACCTGAGCCTGAATGTATTAGAGTAACTGCTCAGATGGTAGTTGGTGGTATTGAGGAGATTCACTTTCACACATCTTCTCACACTGAATATCTGGAGAAATTTCAAGAGTATCTTGAATGTATGGAAGAAAATTTATGTATCCTTAATGAGACAATAGAAGCACGGGTTAAAAAACTTCATGTCACTATTGAAGACTTTGAAGGCACAACTGCTTATATCAAAGGACAAGTTGCTCGGAACATGCGGAGGATCGAAACTCTAGATCAGAAAATTCACAACACTACTGAAGATTGTCTATCTCCGATGAATCAGAAGATAGATAACTTTATCCAGTCTAGATTTTGTCTATGAAGCCAAGTTAGATTATATGCAGAATCATGTCACTGCTCAAGACCGATACATATCCACTCTTGAGAAGTCCATTGCAGAACTATCTAAAGCTTCGACATCATCCTCCACCTCTCCCTTTTCGAGCATTTAGTGAGCAAGTTCAACTTCAATTGGATTCGTTACGATTGGACATTGTAAATCTCTCAAAATCCAATTCCCAGAAAGACAATAGCTCAGCAGGTGACATATCTTCCCTTCATAAAACTATTTAGTTGCTAGTCAATGAAGTCAAGGCTATAAAGACACAATCTTCCTCTTCTTATCTATGTGCTCTTTAACAAAAGGTTACATCGACTTATTCGAAACTTGACTTGATCTTAGCAAAGCTATCTGGTTCAAACGATAGGCCACCTGAACCAGAGGGCGAAAAGGTCAACAAAACCAGATCAAGTCAGTCTCCTGTCATACATCATATTCCAGACTCACCAAATGAGTCTGAGAAAATGATACAAGAGAAATTAGAGTCACTCGACAAAATGGCTGTTGATGCACGATTTAAGGCTCAACAGAACAGAGCAAAGATGGAAGAGAAAGAAAAGGAACTCGTTCGATAACAAGGGATCAATGATCCATCTTGAAAAGTTTCAAGAAGGAAAGATGTTTACTTCTCCAAACCTATCACCATATCAGAACCAATCACTCAATCAAAGCTTCCTCAAACTAATCCCAAGGATAAGGGAAAACAAAAGATTGTCTTCAAATCTAAGAAGGAATTAGCTAAAGAAGCTCAAATGGAGATAGATGAAGAATTAGCTAAGCAAATGAAGGCTAAGGAATTAAAGTCTAAACAAGAGGTGCTTCTCAAAAAAGAAATCTTCAGAGATCTTGCTTGAAGAAAGAATTACATGGCATGATGAACAATTTAGAGCACCATCTCCTAAAAGAACAATCTTCTTCAATACCGATAGAGATTCTTATCAGAAGATCAAGGTCATCAAGCCCACAAATTCCTTCACACCTCCTTCAGACCTCACTAAAGAAAACTGGGATATTCCTGCACCCCCGAATGGTATGAAGTTCAACTTATTGCCAAGTGCAATTTATCCAGTTGAGCCTGATGTAGACATTGAAGAGGTGAAGAAAAGATTTTTCCTGAGAAAACCAATTCAAGTTGTCTATGTATGGTCAAAATTCAAGATTTTTTCAATCATCAAAATTGACATACGGAAATTCAAAAAGATGCCATATGCATTCTTTCAAGGAAAAAGGACAGACAACTTTGAAATCATGTTTTCTGAAGCTAATTTACCTAAAATAAATCAAGCTGATATCAGATCACTGCTCATTTGGTTGAAACAAAGGGTGAGTACAGATAAAGCTTTTGCAGATGTCCTACAACACCTAAGGCAATATGTGCTCGACATGGTTATTGATTTCAGCGTTGACTGGGAGATTGGACAGCTGGGAGAAAAGGAAGCTGAGGAACCAATCTTGGATCTAAATATGAAAAATGAGTCACCTGGGAACATTCTAAAGAAACCACATAGAGGTGTTGTATTCTCTTCTAAAGGTCGACTGAAATTCATGAGAATTTCCCAAAAACATCTATTCTCGTCTAAATTTATTCAAGGTATCATCGGTTTATTGAAGAGAATAGGTGATCAAGATGAGTCCCTGAGAGTGAAGATCATTGAAGAACTTACTTGGTTTTTAACTTCTCGATAGTGGTTAATTAACTTGAGAAACAAAGTTTAGATTGTGTGCTTTTGTTTTGTTTTTAAAAAAACCATGTGGATGATGTTTTCTTTTTGCTACTAGTAATTTATCCTTTTGTTAAAATTCATCTTGCATGTTATTACTTTTATTTTTTTCTTTTATTTTTACTCCTTATTTCAGTAACCATCACATAGGGGGAAACTGTTGGAAGATATTTGTATGTGATTATCACTTGAAATCAGTCGAGCCTTTATATATATATATATATATATATATATATATATATATATATATATATATATATATATATATATATATATATATCTAACAAACATTATCAGAACGTTTCAGGTTGGAAAGATCCTGAAGATTCAACAAGTGTTTGAAGAATCAGATGTTGGAGCACTTGATGTACACATAAAGCACTTGTTGTTGACATGGAGCACTTGAAGAATGAAAGTTAGACCATCATGATCTCAGCTGGAACCTCTAGATCATATGTGGAGCATCAAGATATTGGTGGATCATCTGGAATATTGATGGCTCATCAGAAACATTGTTGGCTCATCCACAACTCTATGGCTTAACAAGAGGTTGATGGATCAACATGAATACTTGGTGGCTCAAGTCAAGTCAATGGATTAACATGATCACATTGATGGCTCAACAAGATTGCACATGACTCATCATGTACAATGAAGGCGTGTCCAAATGCTCAAAGGCACATAAATTTCGTCCATGGTCCATAATGAACATGTGGTGGTACATCTTCAAGTTCAAGACACGGTCAACATTCAAGAAACAACTTAACTTCATTAACAACACTTCTGGAAGTCGATGACATCTAAGAAGACAATTGAGCAACATGATGCTCATGTTGCTCATCTCATTTTAAATGTTGATCAAGAAGGCTCAAGAATTATGAAGACTCATAACTTGGATGGAACCCTAACGGAATACTAACAGAATTGGAATATTCCATCCATTTTCCGTTAGGTAGGGCAAAGGTGTCAACTGATGACTAAGTCATGATGACGTGTCAACACCTGATTGGTCAAGCCATGTCATGGGATTTTCCAAAGCCTATAAATAGGCTCCTTGGGATCCATTATAAAGTTCCTCTTCCTGGCTCTTCCTTGCTCATTCCAGATCATTTCTGCACAATTGATGCTTATACTAGTTTTCAGAGAGCCATTTGAGTGTTTTAGCTTGTCTATCATTCAAACACTTGTAACTGATTCTTGATGAATATGAGACACTTTTGAATCATTGATATTGAACATATAAAAAACGTTTTTTATCATTAACTTGGTGATTCAAAACTCTTTATTTTCCGCATTACTTGTCACTTGACGATTCTGAAACTCTGTTTCAGTATATTCAACACTTGGACTATTCTAGTCTAGGTTTACTGAATTTTTCTCATTTCTTCACGGACCATCCAGAGACTTGAGGATATGTTGCAAGCTTGTGTGATCGATTTTGGTGGGAGTTGGGACTCCTACTTTCCTATAGCTGAGTTTTCATAGAATAATAACTATCACTCCAGTATCGGGGCACTGTCATACGAGCTTCTCTATGGGCCCCAGACTACTGGGGAGAGGTCGGTCATAGGGATATGGGAAGGACCGAAGTAGTCCTTCAGACGACAGAGCTTTTTTAGCAAATCATGTAGACGTTATGCCGACAGACACCGATGGAAGTTGGAGTTCCAGGTCAGCGATATGGTTTTACTGAAGGTATCACCCTGGAAGGGTGCAATACGCTTCAAGTGAAGGGTCTAATTAGTGGTTTGGTCTAGGCTTTCTATGTAATAGGTTCTTTTGAGTCAATTTATAGCTTTTGGTAGTTTGTGAGTTGTTTACGGCCCGACAATGAGTTTACGGCCGTAAACCTGTTTACGGCCGTAAACCCAAGGTCGGCCCAGGTCCAGTATATATAAAGGTATGCTAGGTCATTTATTAGTTGTTGATGCCACAGAGTTCACGGTTTTTATTACCACAAGTTGTACCAGACGTTATTCTAATAGAAAGCGTGTGCAAGCTTGTTATCATTCTTGTTTCTACTTGTTCTTTATTGTTAACTGATTGTGTTTGCTGTTTGATCAATGGTAAGATCCGTTTCAGGACCTTACAATTGGTATCAGAGCAAAACCAGCGTCAAAAGGACTCTACAATCGATTTGTGACCATGTTCTTATTTGTTTGCGACTGAAGTTGGTGTTTGCTGAGAAAGGGTTTCAAGCTTCATTCAAAAACTGCGTTTTTTCTCAAGTTTCTGGGAGATTACGGCCTTAGCTTACAGCCGTAAACTTAGATTACGGCCGCAAACTCCCATCAGTTCTTGAACCGTGAACTTGGTTCTTGGGCCGTGAATAAGGATTGTTCATAAACCGGAAACTTAGATTCTTGGACCGTGAACTTAAACCGGAAACACCTTACGACCGTAAACTCCGGACCGTGAACAGAGTTTACGGCCGCAAACTCTCTTTTGACCGTGAACATAGTTTACGGCCGCAAACTCGCCTTTGACTGTGAACTTGTGTTTGACCGGAAACTTAATTTATTTTTTTATTATTCCTGTTTGATATTAATTTAATATTAATGGAATCTCAAAGTCAAAATCATTTTCACGAACTTGATACTGTCATGGGCACTACTACGCGTATTCCAAGGCTAATGTCTGGAAGTACAGGATTGAAAAATATATTAAAATGAAGGATTTCAAAGTATTGAGAAGCATTCTTAGAGGACCTGTCAGAATCACTGTTACAGTTGGAGGACAGGTAATTGACAAGGCTGTTGAGAACTACACTGATGAGGAGTTTGAGAAAGTTAAAGAGCAGGAAAGGGCTTTAGCCACTTTAACCATGGCATTATCTCCTGATATTGCTCAAGGTTTTAGAGAATACACTTCAGCTAAGGATTTGTGGGAAGCCCTAATTGAGGTATATGAGGGCAATGAAGATATGAAGGAGAGTCGCCAGGACATGTTGAGACAAAAGTTCAATATGTTCAACTACATTCCAGGAGAGACTCTTGAGGCTCAGCTGCAACGGTTCACAACTCTCACCACTGACATAAGCATATCTGGGATTTTTCTGACCAAGTCAGAGATTAACAAGAAACTTCTGAATGCTCTTCCTAGATCATGGGACATGAATGTTGTTGTGATCAAGAAGACCAAGGATTTAAATCGCCTCACTCTTGCTGAAATCATGGCGATCATCAAAGCTTGTGATATTGATGACAAGCAGAGAGACATAAACCATGTGAACTCGTACTCTATTGCAAATCTTGGAATCTCATCCAACAATGCTCTCTCATCAATCATGTCTTCCTCAAATCAAGCTTTTGCTGCTCAACAACCTCAGATTCAGACTCTTGCTGCTGCATCATCCATCCCTCATTCACAAAATCAGTCATTTGTCACTCCACAAGCTGTTCCCCATCCAAATGTGCCAGTTGTAGCATCTTCTTCAAACACAAAGGATACTGATGAAAATCTGGCTCTAGCTACTGGGCTGGTTAACTGCTACAATGCTTTTGTAGCTGGAGAGCTTCCACCTCATCTATCATTTGCTGACCTGGATCAGATTCATCCCGAGGACGTGGAAGAAATGGACATCACATGGCAGATTGCTATGGCTGTTTTCAGGGCCAATCAGTTTGCTAAGAAGACAAGGAAGAGCAACTGGGGCATGAATGCAGACAAGAAGGTGGGTTTCAACAAGGGCATGATGTGCTGTTTCAACTGCCACGAGCCGGGTCATTTTGCTCGTGAGTGTCCAAAGCCAGATCGTCGATTGAACAACAACAGGACAATAGTTGCAGTGGGAAACAATCGTGCAGGTGCTGCAGTTAATGGTGAGACTGCTATGGTCTCTCAATCTTTTGACTGGGCGGACCAGATTCAGGCTTTGAATATCTCAGGGCCAGAAAATGCTCACCTAGCTCAGATTGATGATGCTTCCTTGGAGAATGATGCAACTGATCCCGAAGCAGAAATGATGAAGCTGCAGTTTGCTATGATGGTGTCTACTTCTTCTGAGCCCAGGAAAAATGAGGTAAATCTACCGTCTTTTTCTCAAGCATGCAATGAATATGTTAAACTTCTTCATGATGAAATTAAATTATTGCGTAGAGAAGTAGAGGACCTTAGATATGAGGGCTATCAGCTTAGGAAAGGTTAAAAACCCCTTAAGGCCAAGTTAGAAACTAAAATAAAAGACTTTAGAAGAATTCAAACAGAATACAGTGAAAAATGTGAGCTTTATGATTATGTTAAGAGACAAAATGATGAGCTAATTACTGAGCTTGATACATTAAAGAAAGAGTTTGATTCTGCAAACTTTGTTTTTCAAAAATTTGATGGATCAAGCGAGGTAGTTGCCACCATGATTGATCACTGCATGCAATTTGAACGAAATCAGTCTAAGGGTTTAGGATATGATAGTGTACCTCCTCCTTATAATCATACATATCAGTTTCAACACCTATCCAAGGATGAGATTGCCAACGAACCATTTATGGTTTATGGCAAGCCATTTGGTTTCGTTTCAGGCGGATTTATTAATGTTGAAAGTACTAACATTTCTAGTTCCCCTGCAAATCAACCCTTAGACCAGGCAAAGCGTGGAGTGGGAGAACCTGTTTCTGTTTCTGTTTCTAATTCTGATAGTTTTGTTTCAAATGACAATGTTTGTGTTTCCGATGTTAAGACTGATAATGTTTCGTGTGATGCTTCCACGTCTGATACTTTTGAATTTAATTTCTTTGATATGTTTGATGAACTATTTGGTAATTCTGATGCTTGTAATTCTCATGAAAAACCATCAATTCCACAAGTCACACCATCTAAGGCACCCTCACTCATCTCACAACCTATTTCTCATGCATGTTCTTCTGAGAAGAGTAAGAGTGCCTGTCACGAAAATAAATCTGAGAAATGCAGTACAAGTTCAAATAATAAACAGATTTGTTTTAATTGTGGTGTTGGTGGTCATATAGC